TGAGCAGTACTTTCTCAACTCTTGGATCACACAAGCATGATAATGTTTCCAATTCCAGTCCCTTAACTCATCACCTACCCCAGTGATGGCAAACCTTATGAGCTCAGCATGTCAGCATTTTGAAAAACCCTAACTTAACTCTGGTGCCGTGTCACATATAGAAATTTTTTGGTCTTTGCAACCATAGTAAAACAAAGACTTATATTTTTGATATTTACTTTATCTATTTAAATGCCGTTTAACAAAGAAAAGTCAACCAAAAAAATGAGTTTGCGTGTCACCTCTGACACGCGTGTTATAGGTTCACCATCACTGCTCTAAGACATGGCTTCTCTATCTTGGCACAAGGGACATCTGGGGGCAGATAATTCTTTATTGGGGCCGGGGTGGGGGGGCAGGGCGGAGAGGGGAGAAGCTATCTTGGACATTGTAGGACGGTTAGGAGCATCCCTGGCCCCTATCCATTGGATTCCGGTACCACTTTATCTCTGAGTTGTCACAACCAAATAGATCTCCTCACATTCCAAATGTTCCTGGAGGGGCAAAAACCCTGAGAATTGCACTGTTAAGTAAAAATAGCATTTCAGCTGTAACATAATTTTAAGTTTTTTTAAGTCACCTTAGAAAACTAACAGGTGAAATTAATTTAAACACAGTTCATTGAACACAATGTATACAATAATCATCATTTTAACATGTAATCAATATTTTCAAATTATGAATGAAAGATAGTTTACATTCTTTCTTTGCACCGAGTCTTTGAAATCTGGTGTACATTTTACACGTGGAGCACTTCTCAGTTCAGACACTACATTTTAAACAGTTAAAGTAAAATGTAACCCTAAAAAAGGTCAACACTGTGCTTACAATCAAGCACGGCTTCTGTTTTAAATTTAAATCCGTTGACATGAAATAAACTTTAACATGCGGTTCCACAGCCACAGGTCACGTGCTCAGAAACCACGGGTGGCATTGTGGGCAGTGCAGAGTTAGAGGTTCAAAGGTCTTGACGGTCTCTGTGCCCAGCTGCTGAACAGAAGTGAATGTGCACAGAATGGAGGCTCAGTAAACAGCCAGTTCCCTGTATCCCATTCCCCCTGCCAAGCTTCCTAAAGACTGACTTTCCGGAGCTTTTGAATGGGGCTCCCCCAGATCTGCTGGTGCAGCCCCACTGGGCCCACCGCCCAGCCTGGGCTCGCATGGTACTAGCCCAGGGGAAGTCGGGCTGGGGGAGGGAGCCTGGGCATCACAGGGGAGACCTCCCGAGGCCTCCGAGTGAGCAGTAACAGGCACTGCACACTCGATCTTGGCTTCTGCTTCTGTCCTCTCTTGCTTACAGAAGAGCTGCTTTCCCATCCTTTGGGGAGGGGCACAGATCAGCTTTCAGTACAGAACAGAGATTCAGTGTGGCTGCTTTCAAAACCGAGGGGCAGAGTCTGGAAGAAAGACGGTTCACCTTTAGAGAGGCAAGTGGTGGGTTTGAAAGGACAGGAACATCAGTCAAGCAATCCAGGGTTTGGCTCCCGCCTCTGCCAGTTATTACATCTGTGACCTTGGGCAAGTTACCTCAGTTCTCTAACTCATCATTTCTTCATTTGTTCATTCATTTACTAGTACTTAACAGATACTCAATGAGTACCTACTATGTGCCAGGTGCAGTGCAAGGCCACAGAAGTATACCAGTTAATGAGACATTACTGTGGCCTCCTTCAAGGAGATTATAGAAATGAGGGGAGAGCAGCCATTTATAATACAGTGGGACAGGTGTCTGTCCCTAGAGAGAAAGACCTGACACCTGAAGCATGAGCAGTTGGTGGCCAGGTGCAGAGGCAGGAAGGGGGTGTGTGTGTCTCACACAAAGTGACAAGCTTAGGTAAGGCCCACAGACAAGAAGAGAGGGGCCTGTTGATGATGGAAAGGAGACTGTGCTTGGACAGAACAAAGTGTGGTCCCAGGGGTGGAGAGAAGAGGAGGGGCAGGCAAAGGACTGTCACTGAGCGCCCATGAGCTGAAGTTCACTATGGGAATGACAGGGCCATTGATGCATTTCGATTAAAGGGTGGACGAGGATTGAAGGGGAGCAAGCCTGGAGGCAGGAAGTCCAGCTCAGGGGCTGCTTAAATGATCCAAGAGAAACATGAGGGTGGCTCGATCTGAGTGGAAATGGAATTGGAGAGAAGGCGGAAGCTTAAAGTTTTCTGGGGTAGAATTGATAAGGCATGCTGAGTGACTTGAAGTGGGAGGTCAGGAAAAAAGAGGGCTAAAACACGACTCCAGGCTTCCAGACTGAGCAGCTAGCTACATGGATGGTGGCACCATTTACTGAGGGAGGGAAAATTGGGAGAGGAGATGTGCGGGTGGAAAGGTGATGGGTTCATTTATAATAACACTGATCTTCCTGGTTGTTCTAAGTTTTAGAAACATTGTATGTGAGGTACCTGGCAGAGTACCTGGCATGTCGTGGGTGCTTGATAAATGGTGACTCTTATTCTTGTTCCATTTTTTAAAAATCTATTTCAGGCCCTGTTTGGTTAGATCATGATGTTCTTTTGCTGTTTAGTGTGAGCTCTTCAGAGCCACAAGAACTGCCGTTTTGTTCACTGTGCCGCACGTTTTCATGTGTGTTTCTCTCTCTCCTTCTCTTCTGCATGCTGCCTGGGGACTGGCTTCCTTGTGGTCAGCACCAATGGGCAGCGCCCAGGTGACCCCGGGGACTCCACTCTGCCTCCTCACCACAGGTGATCACCAGAGCCCTGGGCGGGCGGGAGGGGAGTGAGAGTGACCCACGCTCAGCAGGTCCTCC